AAGGCTCTGGTGCTGCCGTGCTGCTGCTGGGCCGCGCTCAGCCTCTGCTTGCGCCGGAGCTGCCGGTGGCACTGGCCTGAGCTCGCCAGAACGTTCGTGCTCTTGCCGACCTCGTTCCTAATTGGCGCTTTAAACCGCGGAATACCCCAGTCCTGTGGGAAGTGCAAGTCTGAGGTCTGGCTGACAGTGAAACTGCTTGAGGTCGTGTTCGAGATTGATGGGCGAACATTTAAGGTGCTTCCTGCAGCCGGTGTGGTCTTTATATAGCTGTATATGTGTTACCAGAGGAAACTAAAATGTGAGGTTACGGCTGTGGTAGTTACAAGATTATTTGCGACTCATCTAAATTGCCGTATGTGCTTTTGGAAAGAACTTGGGTATAGGTTAGAAATCTAGCTTTGCTTAATTCTTTAATTTTCTTCAACTATCTCTCTAAATCTATGCTAATCAGGTTTTAAAATCAGAATTGTTTAGGTTTGTTGGTGTTTTTTTTTCCGCATTGTAGATGTCCAAATCTTCAACAGCATCAAAAATGTCATCCCAAGAGGAAATACTGCGGGATGGGCGGTTTAGCTGCGTTACTAGGGATCCCAGATTTTGGGAGATGCCTGAAAAAGAACGTAAAATCAAGATTGACAAACGATTCCGAGCTATGTTTCATGACAAGAAGTTTAAGCTGAAATATACAGTGGATAAAAGAGGTCGCCCCATTAACTTTACTTCTGCAGAGAACCTCAGGAAATTTTATGCCCTGTCAGAGTCTGACTCTGATCTTTCAGAAGATGATACTAAAGAACAGACTGAAAAGAAAAAAAAGAAAAAAAAAGCTAAACCTAAAGGAGAAGCGGACTCTGCAAAGCTACTTGCTGATGGTCTCCCTAGGGAGGAGAGCAAAAAAACCAAAAAAGGGGTGGACCAAACATGCGAAATGGTGACAAAACTAGATGGCCTTAAAAATGAAGGACAAAAAATTACATCTAAATTCAGCTTGAAAGAGGACTCTCAGAAAACTGCAACAGAAATGTATCGCTCTCAGGCAAACAAGGACCGTTTGCACAAAGGGGAAAACAAGCAGAGAGATGTGTCAGGAGGAAGATCAATTTCAGTTCAAAACAAGCAAAAGACTTCACAACCAAGTGGTACTAAATCGGTTAAAGCTCCCAGCACGGACCGTTCCCTAGGAGGAAAAATAAAAGAATCAGGTTAGTTGTTCAAATAACAAATAGAATTAGGCTTCGTTTTCTTGGATGTTATTGCTTGTGTTTTATCTAGGTAAGATATTTGGCAAGATCAGTCATAAAATATCTGACTGACTTGGATTCAGTGTTGCTGCAGAATTGGAGTTGCTCAGCTCTTTATAGAATCAGTGCTGATTCTTCAGTAAGATTGTGAACATCAATATCCTTTTAATTGTTGGACATTAAATTGTTGGTTAGGTGTCTAGAAAGGTAAAATGTACAGTAGCATATACATTATTTATCAAACTGAATAACAAATATAAGGTCTGATACCATGAAGGCTTCGACGTATCAACACTTGTTGACCGAAAGCGTAAGGATGGCAGCACCAAGCCGTTAATATAAGAGGGCACTAGAGAGAACAGGTGACTGGAAGAAAAACTTTCTTTATATTGCTTGTGTATGTATTTAGCCTACGCTATTGAAATCTAATTTCTACCTGTTGATTCTATACCTATAAATAGAATAACAGAAGAATATTTTCTCAGAGTTTGAGATTGATAACATGATTGTGGGCCTCAAGAGCAATAGTTTGGACAAGCTGAAGAGCTGATACTGGTAACCTATGTTGTTTGCACTTCCCTGATGTAATTTGTTTCTGCCTTGTTGTGCATTTCAGGGGTTCTGTAAATCTGAATTTTTTTCCTCTCTGTAATGTAATTACAGTGTAAAAATAGATACCTGATGTTTATCTTTCAGTGACTCTATGCACAGACACCTGCAATCAACGTGACATCAGTAAAAGCCAATTAGAGGAAGAAATTTCTGCAAGTGACGATTTTGAGTGTGAAGAATCAGAAGAGGAGCCAGAAGATGACAGGGAAACAGGCGAGGATGAGAAGCCAGAAGATGATGGGGAAACGAGCGAAGAAGATAGTGATTCAGAAGATGATGAAGAAAGTGATAGTGGGCCTGATCTAGCTAGAGGCATAGGAAACATTGAAACGAGCTCGGACGATGATGAGGATTTAAATGAACTATTTCCAAAGGAGCCAGAGATAGAGCATTCATGGCGTGAGCTAGATAAAGATGCCCCTCGTGGAGATGAGGTAACAATACTTCTGCATGTGAAAAGTGGCTGCGTGACATACTCAGAGATGTACACTGTTATGAGTTCATTATAGACCTTCATCTAAGAAATGTTTTTTGAAATAATTTTTTTGTAAAGGTGTTTCAGCCTTTTAGTTACAGAACGTACACGATGATGAAACTGTCTGAGAATGAGAGGCTTGCAGGTTTCGCTGGTGACTCCCTTTCCCTCTAAGCGGAGCCCTACCTATAGATAGATAAGCTATCTATAAGTGAAAGAATAAACAGAATTGAGCTTTTCAGACATTCCAGAATTTAAATAGTACTGCTTTTGTTCACTACTGATTTTTTCACTTTTTTAAATTTAATTTATTAACTTGCAATTTAAGAAATTAAGAAATTGATAGTGAAGTAGGACTTTAAAACTGAGCACAATTAGCATATAAGAAATCAATACTCTAGTGCTGTTATAATACTGCGATCCTAGTTGCTATTGCCGCTAACCATACGATGATAATAAAATCCTAAGTGCTGATGTTGTAACTGCAGCATTAAATCTGTGATTGGTGCAGTCCATTCTGCAGTGCTTTACTATGTATGTCATTTTTATGTGCTCTGGTGATTGCTGCTTCTGACCTTTGCTAATTTAAGTGATGCAAAGTCTTGAGGAAAATGCTTCTTTCATTTTTTCAGTGGGGTTTGTTGCTGACTTTGGTTTTTACCACGAATAGCTGCTCGAGAATTGTGTATTCCCCATAGCAGTCAGGAATTAAACCTATGATCTTTGTGTCCTTTTTTTTTTTTCCCCTCTGTTCAGATTACAAGTAGATTGGCAGTTTGTAATATGGATTGGGATAGGTTGAAGGCTAAGGATTTGCTGGCTCTGTTTAATTCTTTCACGCCCAAAGGAGGAACAGTATTTTCTGTTAAGGTAAGACCTGATTTCTAAAAGGAGTACTGGCTTTTACTGTAAAAAACCAACCAACCAGCCACACCCCCTACAAAATAAGAACAAAGTAGGACAGTTCTGTGGAGAACCAAAAGAGAGATTAACATGGTAAATGAGAAACTGTGTTGCAATTTAACTTGCTGTGTTGGAAATAAACGTGCTGCTTTTTAGCAACAGGCATGTATTTGGTAGAGTTAGGTCCTGAAGCCGTTAACTTCTTGTGTTTATGAAGTTTGCTCTAAGTGCTGTTTTTCTGAGACTAATACTGAAGTCCTCAAAATCTAGTAGGGGGAGACTGTATTTCCTTGGCCAGTTTAGTTTTCACTGGTCTTTATGGTAGATAACCCAACCTTAAATCTGGCTATTTCTGAATGCCTTCCAACCCCTTTTACGCAACAATACTTGTTTTTCACTACTTTTGAGTTTTTTAATAAACTTGAATTGAGTTCTGATCAGTTAAGTTATATTTTACCATTTTTAGTGTCTGCCTTCAGCTTTCTGAGAAATGTTAGTCAAATACCCCTTTTTGAAAAGGGCTACAGTGAAATGAACGAAGTCAGGGTTCCTGTTGTTCTTCATCTGCCTCAAAATAGTCTCATTCCTAACAGGCAGTTTGTTTATTCTACTGTCTTTTCTGTAAATTAGAATTAAGAGGGTACTAAAGTTTATGGAATTGATCCCTTCACTGATTTTAGATAAAAACCATAAAGTCTGAAAGGCTTGGTGAGATATTTTTTCTTAGTTGGTGTACATTATGCTGCTACAATTAAAAATTTACTTTTGTGTTGTTGTATTTATAGATTTTTCCTTCGGAGTTTGGAAAAGAGAGATTGAAAGAGGAGGAACAAAGAGGACCTGCGGAACTATTTGATCTCCCAGAGAATACCACAGAGAATGACGGGTATTAACTTTATCTTCAAATGAGAGATAGAATATGTCTAATTCTCAGTGAAAATCCCAATCAACTCCTGTTTCCAAAAGTTCATATTTGGAAGTCTCCTGTGAATGCCTTAATTTTCTAGGTTTTTCAAGGGATGTTTTACAACTGGCTCTGGTTCATTGTCAGTGCACTGAATAAATGCATTATGATGAAATTTGAGAAGATTTGCTTGTTGATAAGTGAGTCCAAAATTTTTGTTACGTAGTTCATTGGAATAATAAATGGAACAAATG